CTAGCAAACGGTGGAGTCGAACTCCTCCCAGGGAACAGAGTTCTTGACTTAGAATATGCCTGTGACATCGCCTTACTGGGTGACGATACACAGACAGTCCAAGACGCTATGAACCGCTTGGCGATAGAGGTATCCAGGTATGGTATGTGCTTTGCACCATCAAAGTGCAAAGTGCCGGTTCAAGACTGGCAGGAGCCTGTGCTTGCATTCACGCTCTGTGGTGATCAGCTGGAAGTAGTTGAGAGCTTCAAGTACCTCGGGGGCTTGATCGCAGCTGCTGTTGGTGTTGGGGAGGAGATCACATCACGAATAGCGGAAGCTAGAGCAACTTTCATCAATCTGTGACACTTGTGGCGCTGCCATGACGTCTAACTGTCCCTTAAGGGAAGGGTGTACATCGCCACAGTTCGTAGTGTTCTCCTTTACGGTTTCGAGACCTGGCTCCTCCGCGTTGAGAATGCCAATCGACTTTCTGTATTTGACCACCGATGTCTCCGAAGCATTGCTCGTGTCTGGTGGGAAAACCGGTTGAGTAATGACGAGGTTCGTCGTCGTGTGTTGGGTGCGGATAGGCGCTCTCTAACAGAAGTAATCGCTCTACACCGCCTTCGATGGCTTGGTCACGCGGCGGTCAGACCTTGACGTGGGCTAGAGACATAAAGAAACTGGCTTTAGTTGTTGCAGCCCGCCTTCCAGGTTAAGGCCCAAAGGATGATGATTGCCGTTGGTTAGAGACACTGAGAGATATGGCCCCGAATAGAAATCAGTGGCGCGAATGCTGTACGGTCTGCCTGTCGAAATTCAGTGCCCCGTAAAAATAATGAAAAAATATCAAAAACTGTACGGTGAAACATACGAAAAAATTTTGTTATCCCAGTTATCTATTTTCCCGTATTTAACTGTTTCACCCTCTTTCCACTTGGCTGTGTACCCCGATCCACCTATCCCCTAGTATTGTCATTGTTAATATTGTTGTGGCGTTGGCACCATGCTTGTTTACAAGCCAGTGAAATATATATATATATATATATATACAGCCGGCTGGTTGGAGAGATTGAAGGATATGGTAGCAAACCGACAGCAGTTGCGTTTGTGTTGTCATTTCTTGTCAGGTCAGAATGCTCGCTTCACTGTATCTCGCTGTACGATGATGATGATGATGACAGTTCGATTGTGTATTGTCTGTTGACCATAGGGGTTCACTTCCTTTGCTTCCCTCCAATTAGGCTCCAACCCCCTCCATCTTGTATTTTCTAACTTGCTTTGTGTACATTGTGAGCTTAGTAGCGATCACTGAAGTTCGCTTCACTGAATATCACTGTACGATGATGATGAGTTAAATATTCTTATCAATCCTCACCATTTTGCATCGGTGACCGAGTCTCACTTCCTCGGTTTGCTTCACGAAGTGACGAGAGATCGAA